ATGGTGCTCTAGAAGGGTATGGCAACCAGTGTTGGCCAATATGCTCCAGTATTCTTGCCTGGAGAACCCCCCTGACAGAGAAGCCTGGCAGGCCACAGTACATAGGGTTGCAAGGAATTGGACACGACCGAAGCAGCCCCACATGCACAGACGCCAGAACTTTTTTGCCTGTGGCAGCTCTGCCCCAGTGAGGGTTGAGCATGAAGGTGGCGCAGCTGCCTGGGTTGCGGGGACCCTGTTCAGCACCAAATGTGCAGGGACACGGACTGCCTCAGCCGGAGGCGTAAGGGCCCTACCAGACTCTTTCCTCGAGCCTCTGGTAGCTGGTGATCAGGCCTCTTCGGCTAGTCTTTCTCCACAGCTCCGCCCGTTCAGGCACTTAGAGGGCTCGCCTGCCTGTGTTTGGTGAGTCAGGCACATAGTGGGGCCCCCCTGGGTGGGGTCCTGCTCTGCAGATTGGCATATCAGTCACTTAAAGGGGCACCCTGGCTGGGGTCCTGCTCTGTAGATTGGCGCATCAGTCACTTAAAGGGGCACCCTGGCTGGGGTCCTGCTCTGTACACTGGCACATCAGTCACTTAAAGGAGCACCCTGGTCAGGTCCTGCTCTGTAGATTGGCGCATCAGTCACTTAAAGGGGCACCCTGGTGGGGTCCTACTCTGTAAATTGGCGCATCAGTCACTTAAAGGGGCACCCTGGCTGGGGTCCTGCTCTGTACACTGGCGCATCGGTCACTTAAAGGAGCACCCTGGTCAGGTCCTGCTCTGTAGGTTGGCACATCAGTCACTTAAAGGGCACCCTGGTGGGGTCCTCCTCTGTAGTCCAGTGTGTGAGGCATTTGATGGGCCAGCCTCTCTATTGTTCAGCTGCCGATGCTGGCGTGTGGGGAGAGAGAGGCTGTGGTGATGGCTCCACCCCCTACGCGAGACTCAGCAGTACTGCCTTACTTCCATGGCTGCCTAACTTTCCTCCACAGGCATCTCCCACCACAATCTCCTCCTCCACATCTCCTTGGTCTGTCTCTCCACAGTCAACAGCAGCCCTGGCCCTGGGATTGCTCCACAGTCCCTACGCTCCAGCTCCCACCTGCGGTGCCTTCTAGGGGACCTGCCTCCCTGCCCGGGGTATGTATGGCTGTGGCAAGGACTGTCTGATTCTCATTCCATGTGTGTGTGTGTGTTAGTTGTTCAGTCGTGTCCGACTCTACTTCATGGACTATAGCCTGCCAGGCTCCTCTGTCCATGGAATTTTACAGGCAAGGATACTTGAGTGGGTTGCCATTTTCTCCTCCCTCCCTCAGTCAGTCAGTCCAGTCACTCAGTCGTGTCCGACTCTTTGTGACCCCATGAACTGCAGTACTCCCTGTCCATCACCAACTCCCAGAGTTTACCCAAACTCATATCCACTGAATCAGTGATGCCATCCAACCATCTCATCCTCTGTCGTCCCCTTCTCTACCTGTCCTCAATCTTTCCCAGCATCAGAGTCTTTTCAAATGAGTCAGCTCTTTGCGTCAGGTGGCCAAAGTATTGGTTTCAGCTTCAGCATCAGTCCTTCCAATGAACACTCAGGACTGATCTCCTTCAGGATTGACTGGTTGGATCTCCCTGCAGTCCAAGGGACTCTCAAGAGTCTTCTCCAACACCACAGTTCAAAAGCATCAGTTCTTTGGTGCTCAGCTTTCTTTATAGTCCAACTCTCACATCCATATGTGACTACTGGAAAAACCATAGCCTTGACTAGACAGACCTTTGTTGACAAAGTAATGTCTCTGCTTTTTAATATGCTGTCTAGGTTGGTCATAACTTTTCTCCCAAGGAGTAAGCATCTTTTAATTTCATGGCTGCAATCACCATCTGCGGTGATTTTGGAGCCCAAAAAAATAAAGTCAGCTGAGTGCCCACAATCTGTCTGGCAATGTTCTAGACACTGGCGACAATAGGAAAGTTCCTGAAATTTACACTGGAGTAAGAGAGATAGATGATAAATATACACATACAAGAGACCTTACAGTAGGAATACTATAGAAAGACAGTAAACAGGGAATGGGCTAGCAAGCGACTTTTATATGGAGAAGTAATGATTGCTAAGAATGTTAAATGGCTTTCTAAAAAGCGGATGTCTGAGTTGAGACCTGAGTAACATAAAAGAACCAGCCATGAAAATCAGAGTGAAAGGCAGCCCTGACTGAGAGAACCTCCTGAATGAAATTCTGAGGTGAGAAAAGCTTGATGTGTTTCAGCCCAATTAAGAGATAAGGGCAGAGGGGCTGGCAAGGAGCCAAACTGTATAAGGTCTTATAGGCCATGATGAGAATTTTGGATTTTCTTCTACATACAATAGGAAAATGTGGATGACGGTAACTAGAGTTTAATGCCTAGACTATGAAGATTTAAGACAAGGGCTGATGATTGCAATTAAATTACTTCTATGGTATTAATTATGTATCCCTACATATATGGGCTGGACAAAAAAGTTGTTCATGGTATGCCTGGGAAGCAGAAGAAAAATGACAGAGTACCTTCACATCAACCAGCTTACGAAACACAGGATTCTAGAGTCACAGAAAGCTTCATGATCATCTGGCTTAACATTCTCCACATTTAGGGATAGCCTAACTCAGTTAAAGAAAAATAATTTGTGAATTAGTACCAGTACCAGACCCTCATAACTCTTTTTATAAGGCCCAGAATACCAGGGATAACTAATTCAAAGGGTAAATGAAAAATTATTTATAGCCCCACAAATAAGTATCTTGGGGAAGGTACAAATCTGTTCTTGATTATTCATATCTAATGATAAAGATAATGATAAAAATTATCATGTATTGATTACCTACTTACATATACTAAATTGAAAGCTCTACATGGATTTATTTAATATTTGAAATAGCCCTATGAGGTAGGTATATGAACAAAGGAACTAACAGCCACAAAGAATTAAGAAACCTGCCCAAGATCACCCTGCTGCTAAATATCAGTACTGCAGACTATCTTTCTTCCTCAAAATCTGCTACATTGTGCTGCAACAGATAATATTGAGTACACACTGAAAACATTTATTTTGCTTCTCTCATTGTTTTACAGAACTCAAACACACATGCACACACAGCACACACATACACACAGAATGCTTCCTAACAGTAAAATGCGTCAGTCTGCAAATAAAAGTATTGCTGTATGAATAGTTCCCAATCCTTATCTCTAAAATGAAAAGGTGATGTGATCTAAAGTCCCTTTAACATGCTCTAATTGTTCTATGACTTGTGGTTAGAATTACTTCTAACTCTAAAATTTTGTAATTTCTTCAGCATGTCAAGTACTGACATTTTGCATATCTACAAATAATAAATATCAAGGTGGTCTAGGACATAATTTTTTAAACCTTAGATTTCAAGTGATTGCTGCTGCTGCTGCTGCTGCTAAGTCGCTTCAGTCATGTCCGACTCTTTGCGACCCTATGGACTATAGCCTGCCAGGCTCCTCTGTTCATAAGATTCCCCAGGCAAGAACAGGGCAGTGAGTTGCCATTTCCTTCCCCAAGGGATCTTCCCGACCCAGGGATCCAACCCACATCTCTTACATTTTCTGCACTGGCATACAGGTTCTTTACCACCTAGCACCACCTGGGGTGCTAGTTATTAGTAGGTAATAAAATCAATTTAGTGAGCACTGATCACGTTATAAAAAATAAACGGAATGTCAGACAATCATTGTGCTGTAAAACTTTTGTTTCATGGATGACTTTGAAGGGTTTAGGACTTTTGTGGAGGAAGTAACTGCAGATGTGGTGGAAATAGCAAGAAAACTATAATTAGAAATGAAACTTTAAGTTGCAAATGAACTGCTGAAATTTCATGATAAACTTAAATGGATAAAAGCTACTTCCAATAGATAAGCAAAGAAAGTGGTTTCTTGAGATGGAATCTACTCCTGATAAAGATGCTGTGAAGACTGCTGATGTGACAAGGGATCTAGAATATTACATACATGTAGTTCATAAAGCAGGGTTTAAGAGGATTGACTCCAATTTTCAAAGAAGTTCTACTATGAGTAAAATGCTATCGAACACCATTGGTGCTGCAGAGAAATCATTCCCGAAGGAAGTCAATGAAGTGGCAAACTTCACTGTTGTCTTATTTTAAGAAATTGCCACAGTCACCTCTACCTTCAGCAACCACCACCCTGATCAGTCAGCAGCCATCAACATTAAGGGAAGACCCTCCACCAGCAAAAAGATTACAACTCACTGAAGGCGCAGATAATGGTTGGCATTTTTTTAGCAATAATGTAATTTAAAATTTAGGCATGTACATTTTTTACATGTAATGCTACTGCACACTTAACAGACTACCGTATAGTGTAAAAATAACTTTTATATGCACTGTGAAACCAAAAAAATTGTGTAACTTTGTTTTATTATGTGATATTTGCTTTATTTCAGTGGTCTGGAACCAAACCCACAATATCTTTGAGTTATGACTGCATTGCACATAACTTTCAGCAGAGAAGAGGAAGATAAGCTCCTATTCTTAAATACTTTGGACTTCATTTCTGGAAGTAGACATTCATCATTTATTAGTGTCATTTCACCTATTCATTTAGACAACATGTTCTGAGGGGCTTTATTTATATACCAAGTTCAGAAGATAGAAAGTTGAAGAAGAGATAGACATTGCTGACATTAGATATCTCCAACATGAGCAATATGTTGTATCAGTTTGACCTGAGAGGTTATTCACTCCAGAGGAGCCTGGTGGGCTATATAGTTCATAGGGTCGCAAAGAGTTAGACACAACTGAGCAACTAACACACACTCCAAAGGAAAATACATTTTTCATCCCTCATACAAATTAGTGTTATCTTGAATGAATGAATGGAACCAATAAAGCAATTTGAGATAAAACCAGAATCCAAATGAGCGGTTGGGTTTCCATCTGCTTTTTTACCACTGGTCCAGCCCCAGAGTAGCAACCACAAGGCACTGAAGGCTGCGCTTACCTGTTCCTCCACGGGTGGCTCCTCCGGATTTAGAGGGATTTTTGATTCAACGTCCTCCCACTTCGGAAGGTGGTTAGACGCTGCAGTGTCAGTAGCAATGCCACCATTGTGTACCTTGATGCCGTTTGTTCCCTGGCAGGAGGGAGGAACGTGGTGAAAGAAAAGGCTCTTCTGTGGCATAGGCAGAAACCAGGCCACAGCGAAGGCCACAGAAACACAGGTGAGAGAGATGACATTCAGGCTGAACAGGGACCAGGATGCCACTGAGACGAGGATCTGCCCCAAGACAGAGCCCACTGTGAAGCCCACCAAGGTGGCACTTCGACAGTAGCTCGTGACTTTCTGGTACATGCTCAGGTCTACCACACTGTAGATGTAGGAGTAATAGGCAACTTCAGTGGCAGTGGCGATGCCATAGAAGAATTCCAAGAATTGAATGGCCAGCAGTCCCTGGGCATAGAGCAGCATGAACCAGGTAACAATAAGGCTGAGTCCCTGGAGCAGAATGACAGGCTTATAGCGGAGGTAGTCTGTGGCAAGGAACACAGGAAACAGCAGCACCAGGTAAGAGTAAGTCCATACTGGATATATTTCATTGAAGACCTGGTAGAAAAAGGATAAAACTCTGTTAGTGACCTCAAACAAACTGGAATATTCATAACAATTTATTCTTATAAAACAATCTACCATAACCTCAAAGATCTTATTCTTATCAAACAAAGAAATCTCATCAACAGTTCTGAGAATTGCTTGGAATTCACTTACCTGTTTCCATCCCATCATCTCTTACTAATATCTTCCCTATTCGTCGAGGCCTAGTGCAATGCCTTCCTCATCCTGGAAGACTTGGCTACAGTTGATTGTATTTGTAATCTAACATCCAAAGCTCTCTTGACACTGCTTTCTATGTGTCACTCTCTTCAATTACCTCATAGCACTACTTCTTAACCATGGTTACACATCTCTCAAGGAGCTTTAAAAATTTTGGATGCCTAGCCACAGGCATTTTTTCAAAACTTCCCACGAGATTTTAATATGAGCCAGAGTTTAGAACCACTGCTTTATAGGTTCTTTCAGAGTGGACTTGACTTTCATTTGCACAGCCTACATACTGTACTTGGCTGAATAAATGCTTTGGAAACAAACAAATGTTTTGGAATAATCATCAGTTCTTAGTTTCAGCCACAGAATGGGGAACATAGATCCTACCATTGATTGGGTTTTTCTGTTATTAAGTTTCACTTCTTTGGGGTAACAGGAATAGATCAAGAAGGTAACTCTGTCCTACAGTCTTAACAGAGTAACAATCTATGAATGAAGCATTATAAGCAGCTCTAGTGCCTTTCTTTTTGCGTGTCTATGATATGGAAAAAAAAAAAGGAAGGTTTTGTTTTCTTTTTCATTAATTTTTCACTGGAAGACAGTAGAAATAATTTTTAAACCAAAAAGACCCCAGCTGGAAGTCTGGTTCCATCATTTGCCGAATGATTTTTAAGTTGATTTTTTTTTTTTTTTTTAAGTTCCCTTTAGCCATCTCCATCATCAGTAAAAGAGAAGGAAAACCTATGCCACAGGGTTGTTTGTTGCAAGGGCTAAATGAGAGAACACATGTAAGTCACTTACTCCACTATCTTTTCATAGGTCTAAACACTTAAGGACTGAAGCTAAAACACAGACCACTTGAGACAATATCCATTAAATTAATTGATTTAAGTCTCCATTCTTCAAATAAGAATCATTTTAAGTAGGAGACTTTTTCCTTTTCTCACACCTACCCCAGAGCCTAGCAAATTCCTGGGGGCTTAATAATAAGTCAGTTTCTAAGTGATCATTAAGTTTAGATCAGTGGCCTCAGTTTTTAAGTGCTTTCTGAAAGGTAGTCCTGCTAATAGGCTGAATACTTTGTGATGGAGTGATATAACCCTCTACTTTTTTTAATTCTCATGTATACCTCAGTTCACCCAAGTGTAACATGGACTAACTGTTTTAAAGTTTTAGAGGAACAATATAGTAAAAAATTATTATAAAATATTTGCCAATGCAGATAACAACTATAAAAGGAAAACATAATCTAATATACATTCCAAACTTGATTTCTGATTGGCTGAATATCAAAAGTGATTCATCTATGGAGATTACTCAGCCACAAAAAGGAATGAAGTCAGCTGAACTGAGGTGGAGGAAATTAGAGTTTGTTATATGGAGTGAAATAAGTCAGAAAGAGAAAAACAAATATTGTATATTAATGCATATATATGGAATCTAGAAAAGAGTACTGATGAACCTATTTTCAGGGCTGAAGCAGAGATGCAGAAGTAGAGAATGGACTTGTGGAAAGAAGAGCAGGGGAAGGAGAGGGTGGGATGAACTGGGTGAGTATCACTGAAACATACACACTACCATGTGTAAAAGAGCTAGTGGGAAGTTGCTATGTCACCCAGGGAGCTCAGACCACTGGCCTGTGATGACCCCAAGGGCTAGGGTGGGGTGGCAGGGAAGTTCAAGAGGGAGTGGATATATGTATACTCATGGCTGATTCAGCGTGTTGTATGGCAGAAACCAACACACATTGTAAAGCAATTATCCTCCAATTAACAGTAAATTTGAAAAAAAAAATGGAAAAAAAGAGTGACTGATCTAACAGCCTCACCTTCATGAATTCTGGTCTAATTTCTGTTTCTAAATCATTTAGCAACCTCCACTTACCAGGAAACTTTCTTGTGCCTGAACATATACATAAAAGAATAACTGAGAACGGCAGAAATGATTCCGATCCACAAGGGTAGAAATTTTAACAAATGAGGAACAAAGTGTACTTTGCTGATATAGCACAGGGTCAGACACCTCTCAGCAGAAAACCAGAGCAGATAAGGGCAACCTTGAGATGAAAGTCCTGAAGAGTGAAGGCGTCCCTACAGACTTTGCACAGGTGTGTTCCATTAGCAAATTCCCACTTTTCAGCCTATAGTTTTAGATATTCTCCCATATCTTAAGTGTGAAACTGCCTCCTCTGGTTGACTCTGCATGTTTCTCCACTTTCACATTTTCCCCAACACAATACCACAGAGCTGTTAACCATTACAACTTCCTTTAAAAAATACTTTCCTTCTGTAACTCCATCTTCTTTGTTCTGCCATGCACTCCATGGGAGGTTCATTGATTCTTCACTCCAGTAATACTGTCTGTACTTTTACTTGTTGTATACATTTCAATACTAGCTGTCACCCAAAGCTACCAAGTTTTTATTATATACATCTCATCCTTTCAGTTACCAATTTAAAGTGTTTATACTTATGAGTCTAATTCCACTCCTAACACAAAAACCACAATTTAGATAATGAAGATAAGGAAAAGCAATGCCAAGCTGAAACAAAAATAAGGCAAGCAGGGGGAAAAAGACCAGATGTGTTCTCTTTAAGTTATTCTAAATAAGAAATCAGAATTTACTCCTAGGAGAGACATCAACCCAAGTGGACGGCCCCTTCCACAGTATTATCAGCAGTATAACAGAACATCTGTTACACACTATGCTAATCACCTCACCTGTATGACCTCATTTCATCCAATTACGCTAAGAGGTAATTGCGTTTATCATCTCTATCTTACAACCAAAGTAACTAGGCCTCAAGTGAATTGCCCAAAGTTATCCCAGCAAGTCACTGGCAGAGGGAGAACCTGACCTGGATATTCTGAATCCACCACATTCAGACGCCCCATTTCTTCAATCAGAAAACTGTTTTTGATTACCTACTATGTTCCCCCCTTACTTCTAATGCCGACAGCACCTTTTCCAACCTGTATAGGGGTGCTTTTATGGGGCTTTCAAGAAGAAAGAAGACCAAACAACCTACAGAGCTTAGCCACTGGGTCTCCAAAAGAGGATCCCTTCTCAGGATAGTTAGGGAGTCTGGGATGGACATGTACACACTGCTATATTTAAAATGGAGAATCAACAAGGACCTGCTGTAAAGCACAGAGAACCCTTGCTCAATGCTCTGTGGCAACCTGGATGGGAGCGGGGTTTAGAGGAGAATGGATACATGTACATGTATGGCTGAGTCCCTTCGCTGTTCACCTAAAACTATCACAACACTGTTAATCAGCTATACCCCAATACAAAATAAAAAGTTAATAATAATAATAATAATAATAATAATAATAAAAGAAGATCCCTTCTCTCTCAGTGCCTCCAAGGAGAAGCTGTGGTACCAGGAAATAACTTCTTTGATGGATACTTTCCCTTCAGGAAACTTCCTACATGCAAAAATGTACAGATTACAGAGATTACTTTCTCATTGCCCATACTTGGACAATACCCTCTTATCTCAGGTAACATCTGCCATGCAAGAAAAGGGAATTGATTTTATTCTAAAGTGTCTTTCACAGGTCTTTGGAACAGAGCTTGTTTGTGCTTTCTTCCGAGACACAAACAGTTAAGGAAAAACATGTTTCGTTTTAAACTCTAATTCAGCTTTAGACTTTTAGAATCAAGTTTCATTTAGACTACTAGTTAACAAGCACTTATTTGTACAACACTATTTCCAAACTGTATGAAGATTACAAAAACAAAGAATAAAGTGAAGTCTCAGTTCTCCAGGAGTTCTGAAACTAGTGAAGAATATATACACACAAATTATTGATAAGGGAGACAGGAAATACGGGGTTGCTTCTTTGAACTGGACCTTGAAGGATGAGAAAATCAGAGGCCAACAGAAAGATATCAAGAGTTCTGTAGAAGATTATCCCAAGCAGAGATCACATCTTTGAGCACAAGCCAGTAGATGAGAGAATGGATATGCTGGATTTATGACTGTAAGATTAACACGGATATTTGAGCACATATTAATATAAGGCAAGAGGAAGAAGGATGGAGTAGGAGATAAGGGTGTTAAGAAGTAAGAACCAAATTCTGTAAGGCTCTGAATAGTAGGTACAGTAGTTTTAATATATTAAGTCGAATGCTTTAAAAACGTCACTTCTCTGGTGGTCCAGTGGCTAAGACACCACGCTCCCAACATGGGGGCCCAGGTTCAATCCCTAGTCAGGGAAACCACGTGCCACAACTAAGATCCAGTGCAGCCAAATAAATAAAATAGCCTGCTAGGCTCTTCTATCCAGGATTTTCCAGTCAAGATACTGGAGTGGGTTGCTATTTCCTCCTCCAGGGGATCTTCCCCATCCAGGGATGGACCCCCCATCTCCTGCACTGGCAGGCGGATTCTTTACTGCTGAGCCACTGGCAAAGCCCCAGAGGACAGTACTGAATGTCAAATCCAATGCTGAAAAAGGTGAGAGGATAAAAAAGTTTTTGGTGATAAAGAACTCTGTTTTATTAAAAGTTGGTTTTTAACCACTGAAATACAAATTTTAACCTATTTAAAATTTATAAAGTCATACAAGTTAACGGTTTTCCTATAATCTAGGGAAGAAATCCTTTGAGAATGGAAAGAGGAAATTCTGTCCTTTTTTCCTCCTTTTGTCTTTGGACCTGGTTAACAACAGCTCTGTCTAAGATGATCACATTTGGCCCTTCTAAAGTCTCCTGGAGGAAACATAAAATTCAACACAAATATCACTAGCCATGATTTGACATTCACTTTCCTAAAAAAAAATCATACAATATTAAGTAAATAAATAACTGTCCAGAGGTGAAAAACAAACACTCAGTTAGGAAGGAGAGCAAGTTGTGCTGTTTATTTCAGTTATTAGAGATTAAAAAAATCTAGGATTGCAGAGAGGCTGGACAGAGCTATACTGCGCCTGACCAACAGAACAGAATCAGCCACAACTCTGAGGTTCTCAGAGACAAACGACATCCTTTTCCAGACCTCTAGATTTCTCTTCAAACCCTGCCCTCTTCCTCCACTAATCTGCAGTGACAGAAGCATGCTCTGTTTTCGTTACACATTCAGCAAATATTTCCTGGGCCTGGCACCCCTGCTTTATTGCACTACACCACCCCCCCCAACATATTTCATTCGTCGTAGGAAGATTTCTGATAATCAGGGCACATGATGGCACGTCACATAGCAATTTTGCCCAGAGCACTTGTACAAAACAGACTAGCTTTCAAAGAGCAACACTGGAAGCATGTTTCTCCCCTCTGTGCTTCTCTTTCAGGCAAGGTGCAGATCACATGGCAGGTCACATGAAACTTTAATTGTGAACGGCTTAAAAGTAGTATCATTTCTGCTTCAGAGGTCACACCTCAGATTCAGTAGTTGTTTGGGGGTGTTCTATTAATAGAATCATTCTATTTAAGGAAGTCATGTTCCTTCTTCTAGAATCATTCTGTTCACAGGAGTTGGCCCTTTCAACTTCATTACTGTTTTTAACCAATATTCTAATTCAAATAGGTAATGAGTAACTGTTACAGTTCCTTGTGGAGCAGTCCATAAGACTGAGAAATAAAGCTGAAGTTGGGTAAAATTAATGCTACTTGCTAGCTGCAAGGCAATATGAGAAACTCAAATGAAATCCTCAGCCCAGGGTTCAATTCCTGGTTCAATTCAACTCAGCCAAAATTTCAATTCCCTTGTTAAAGTGCCCTTGAAAATGGAAGAGCAATCCAACAACAAATTGGAACATAAGTAATTACATCCTGCTCTGACCTGTTATACAGGGGTATTCAAAAGAGTTGACCAGTAATCACTGAGAAGGGAGTAAAGTTTATATAGGAGGACTTCACTGGGAGCAACTGGGGCAGGGAGGCAGGGTGAGAGGAGTGGACAATGGAAGAAAGGAACAGCTAACAACTGCACTCAGCTTTCACCCTTTGTGGTGCTCTAGAAAGGAATACCAGACCTCAGCTTCCATGCTTTGTAGTATTCAAGGAAGAGGATGCTGAATCTGCTTTATTTGGGTTGTATGGGAGTAACTTCAGTTTACTTCCTTTTCCAGTTAAGGTCTTTCTTTTTCAAACAACAGATGTTGAGATTGACCATACACTTTGAAGACTTGAGTACATTTTTTAAAGCACAAATGCACTTCTAAAGTACTTACAAATTCTCCTAGGGAAAATCAATCAGCAAGAAGTTCTTGATCATGGACTATGTACTCTCAATTACTCTGAACATCGCGGGCAGAACAGAACGAGCAAAACTAACATCCGTGAATCAACAAATCACAATGCACGAAGAACTATAATTAAATGACAACTGTGTGACACCATCTAAATATCTGCTTTTATCACAGAGAGGTGGGGTGGGGGGTGGTGAGGCGTACTGGACACAGTCTCACCCAATAAAAATCAAGACAAGATGATGGTTCTTGTTCTGTACACTTCTTACTTGAGCACGACCAACCGCCAAGGGTAAACAAATGGAAGGGAAGAAGAAGGTGCAGCAGGTAGCGGGGAAGGTCCTTTCAGAAAGCAGGAGTCACAAGGCATCTGGCTCCTTACTTTCAGGCAGCAAATATTTATTTAAACCTTTACCATGTCCAAAGTACAGCTTGCTGTTTTCGTTTTTCCTCCCAAATATTCTCTCCCCTCCTCTCCCCCGCCCCCAAGATGGATCAGTTGGAGCAGAGTGGGGCTACTGCAACATCAACACATCGCCTGAAGCACACGTGCACTGGGGCTCCCAAACCCCGAACCGCGCTCCGAGCCCTTCACCTGAGACCTGCCCTTCCAGTCCGACCGAGGACAGAAACACAGCGTGAATTAAGGCGGCGCCCAACACGGAGCAGCCCTTCAACTGGGGAAAGTCAGCAATCTCTGTCCAGAACGGCTCCCCGCGGCTCAAGCGTCTTTCTCCCTCCGCCTTTCCTCACCTGCGTCCCCTCCGTCCATCTCGGCCGGTCCGCGCTCCGCGCCGGCCCAGCCACCCCCAGCCAGCCGCACTTACCTCCCTCTCAGTCAGGTTCTTTTCCGGCCCCAGCAAGTAAGGGGTTAGGAAGGGCTCGGACGGCCTGAGGCTGGCGAAGAACCCGTAGGCGCAGAGCAGCGCGGTGGGCAAGAACCAGCACTCGCGTGGGACCCGAGCAGTGCGCAGGAGCATGGTGGCCGCCGCCGCCCGCCGGGACTCCGGGCCGGGTACGACCATCCGGGGGGCGGGGACACGGCCCCTTCCTTCTTTTCCGTGCTGCCAACTAGAGTGAGGCTGAAGCGCTGTCCCCAGCGCAGACACCTGCAAATTGTAAGTGGCGCCTCCTCCCGGCAGGGGCAGGCAGTTCAGGGATAGCCACCTCCCACCGCAGCTCTTCCCAGTCTTTCCCAGCGCCCGGAGGCACACGTGCCGCCGCCCTCCAGCCGCGCTGCCGAAAACCAGCCACGCCCTCCGCCACCGCCTCCCTGCCGAGAACCAATCGGAGAGGACGCCGGGCAGTGGCTTCTCTCCCATTGGTCGGTGGCTCACAAGACGCGAACTCGGGTAGGCGGCGGCGGCGGGCGCGGCGGCACGCGTGACCGCTGACGTCCTCTGGCTCTGGAGCGGAGGACGTGTAGGACTCTGGTGAGAACGCGGTGATGAGAGGCGCGGGGGCGCGCTGCTCAGGCGGAGAACCCTCCGCCCACGCTGGAGGTCAGCTAGTGCATCCGCGGTGCTGCAACTCACAGGTCACGAATGCTCGGCGTGGGCCTCATCCCCAGCAGGAGGAACGTACTGTATCACAGTTAGCCTCTCATTCTCAACCACGGTCCCTCTTTGAACGTCTGTTCGGATTCTCTTTCCCAGGTGGCCAGCGCCAAAGATTTCACCTTGGGACGGGGGAATGCTCTGCCTTTCTTCCAGCAGATTTCAGGCTCTTAAACTGTATTCATCTGCAGTAAAAAAAAAAAAAAGAAAAAGTAGAAGCCCGGTGTCTAAGCGTTCTGAGGCTTTGACCAAGAGCCTGAGCAGGAAAAAGCAGATAAAATACTGTGAAAAGAATGAAAGAGCCAGTCACTTAAAGAGAAAGATGTCCTGGAGTCCTAATTTGAAAGCGTTTGGGCTTTATTTTGTTACAATTTGTAAGCGGAATACAATGAAAGCAAACATAGCTGTAAGTATAGCCAGTGTTTAAAAGATAAGGGGGAAATCCCGAGTCGGTATAGCAATCAAGAATTACGATCGGTCTCTTCATTTAAAAAACCACAGCAGAGGTCTTGGCATAGTTTTCAAGGGCAAATCGTGTGAAGAATCCTCAATGCTTTCTTTCATTTCTCTCTCTAAGCCTTTTTCTGCCTGACTCCGCTTGACTGTATCCCAATCCTACTGCAGACCACCTGAACCGTTTACACTAATTTTCCCTGTGCTGTATTGACAGAGTAACAGATCTTAGCAGAAGCTCAGAGAAAACATTTTTAAACTCTGTTTTGCATAATATGTGTTAGACCTACCTAGCCCAGTTTTCCTCCTGAGTCAGCAAATGACAATTTCGGCAAAAAGGATACTTTTTGCAATAGCCACAAAAGTAACTCTATTAAATGAAACAACGTACTAGTAAAGGAAAAGATTTGTTTCTAAAATTGCACAAGTTGATGCACCAAAGTATGTGAGTTGATGGGTCGCTGAAGAAACACAGTTGTTATACATCTATCAGTGGGTCTCAAAATGGGGTCCAGGAAGCCCTAGGGAACCTTGCCATCTTTCCAGAATTCCACAGGGTCAAACTACTTTTGTAATAATACTGAGATTTTATTTCCTTTATAAATAAAGACCACATGGTGTGTGATGACATTGTCACTCAATAGGCCAAGAGAATGTGTTTGTATATTTTTCTGTTTAAAAACTCCAGATTTAATTCTAATATGGCAACTATCAGTAGGTATGCATTTGTGCTCTGTGTGCTAAGTCGCTTCAGTGGGGACCAGTGCTTTGCAACCTTATGGACTGTAGCCCTCGGGGCTCCTCTGTCATGGGATTCTTCAGGCAAGAATACTGGAGTGGGTTGCCATGCCCTCCTCTGGGGGATTTTTCTCTACCCAAGGAGGAAACCCTCCTCTCATGTCTCCTGCGTTGGCAGGCAGCTTCTTTACCGCTAGTGCCACCTGGGAAGCCTATCAGTAGGTATAACCCACAAAGTGAGCCTTTAGAAACTTCAGTAATAGGCAACTTGAGGCCAAAAAACTAAGAACTGCATAATACAATTATCTAGTCCCCTAAATTCCAGCCACAGTATCTGCCTTTCATTTTGATAACAGAGGGAACATCAGTGGTCCTCTTGGCAATTGCTTCACACTTACATTCAGCGCTTTAGTAGAAGAGAAAGAAAGAGAAAAAGAAATGAGAGGCTTCAGGAGGAGAAGTCCACTTATTAAAAACAGCTTTCCATCCCTTCCCTGAGTCTTGGAGACCTGAGTTGTGTTCATCTGTAAATCGTTAGTCCTGAAATTTTTCTTTGGTGTAAATCACTCAGACAGTGTTGGGCATTAACAAATAATTGTTCTTGAATTAGTAGACTGTTTCGTTATTTTTCTCCAAGAGATCATGACAGAATTGTAAGAATGGCCCCCAGCAAGTTGGCCTTAGTATAATCCAACTAAGGTGGGGGGTGAAACCAGTGATGTTAACCAGACAATATAACTGTTATAATGTATGGCCCACCTGAGATTATCCAGGTGGGCCCAGTCTAATCACAGGCGCCCTTTAAAAGCAGACACTGTCTCCTGTTTGACGTAAAAGATATGCCACACTGTTTTTGGAGGGGGTTATGTGCCAAGGCACCCTGTGGCAATTGAGACTGACTCTTGGCTGACAGCCAGCGAGAAACTGGGGTTTTCAGTCCCACAATCAGGAGGAACTGAATCTGGCTACAAACAAGCCTGAAAATGGATTCTTTCTCTGAGTTTCCAGATGAGAGCCCAGCCAACACCTTAATTTCTTCCAGTCATGCTTGAAACCACCCAAGACCCCTAGCCTTCTGATCTACAGAACTGTGAGCTATATTGTTATTTTAATTTTGTTAAGCTGCTAAATTTGTAGTGATTTGTTTTATAGCACTAGAAAACTAGTACAAAGGTAAATAGAATATATTTTTTAAATTGAGGTAATGTTCACGTAATACAAGGTGACCCAGAAACTGTATTTAAGTGTACAACTCTGGTATTAGTACATTCACAGTGTTGGGCAACCATCACCTGTCTAGTTCTAAAACATTTCACCACCTCAAAGGAAACTTGTACCCCTTAAATATCACTCCCTATTCTTCCCTCCCCCTAGCCCCTAACAAACACTAATGTGCTTTCTGTCTATGGATTTAACTGTTTTGGATGTTTCGCATAAAAGGAAGCATACAATATGTGAGTTTTGGTTTCTGCTTTCCTTCATTTAGCATAACATTTTCAAGGTTCATTGACACATGAATCATGTATCAGTACTCCATTCTTTTTATAGCTGAAAAATATTCCACTTTATGTATATAACACATTGTGTATCCATTCATCGACTGATAGACTTTTGGCTTGTTTCCCTTTTTTTGGCTATGTGAATAGTGCTGCTGTGAACATTTATGTGTAAGTGTTTGAATACCTGGTTTTAATTCTTTGGGGTATTTAGGAATGAAATTGCCAGATCACCTAGTAATTCTGTGTTCAACTGTTTAAGGAACGACCAGACGGTTTTCTTCAGACCCTATACCATTTAACATTCCCACTAGCAATGTGTGAGAATCCCAATTACTCCACATCTTTGGCCAGCACTTGTTATTTTCCTTCTTTCAAATATCCATCCTAGGGGTGTGAAATGGTGAATAGTGACCATAATTTGCGTTTCCCTAATATGACTAATGATATTGAGCATCTTTTCATGTGTCTGTTAGCTGTTTGTATAGCTTCTTTGGAGCAGGGTCAATTCAAATCTTTTGCCCTCTTTATAACTGGATTGTTTATCTTTTTGTTCTTGAGTCATAAGAGGCTTTTTTTAATATATTATGAAAAGTAGAGCCTTGTAAGATATGATATGCAAATCTTTTGCTCATTCTGTTGATATAAATAGAATATTGAGAGACATTTTTTCTCTAGTCAGATGGTCTCCAACTTCGTAATGAGTCAGCTTAATGGTTTTTTGACTTTATGATGGCATTTTCTGTAGAAGTCATACTTGGAATTTTGAATTTTGAGCTTTTCTGCAGGTACTGTTGGCTTCCCTGGTGGCTCAGTGATAAAGAGTATGCCTGCCAAGCAGGTTCGAACCCTGGGTCAGGAAGACCCCCTGGAGAAAGAAAGGACAACCCACTCCAGTATTCTTGCCTGGGAAATCCCATGGACAGAGGAGCCTGGCGGGCTACAGCCCATGGGGTCACAAAGAGTCAGACACAATTTAGCGACGGAACAAGAACAAGGGGCTTACATGTGTGGTTCTTTCTTGTGATGCCAAGGAGCTGCTGCAGCCAGAGCCCCAAGTCTGCCAGGTACTCATGAGGGTGACTAACCAACACACATACCCATTCCACACCCATTCTGCTCTTCATTTTCAGTAAGCATTTAATAAACTAATGAGATATTCAACACTTTTATTATAAAATAGGCCTTGTGTTAAATGATTTTGCCCAATTGTAGGATAAAATCAGTGTTCTGAACATGTTTAAGGTTGGCTAGGCTAAGCTATGATGTTTGGTAGGTGTATTAAATGCATTTTTTAACTTAAGATATTTTCAACTTACAATAGGTTTCTTGAGATGGCCTCATTGTGTAAGCTAGGAAGATCTATATATGAAAGAATGAGGGAATGTGTGTTTTGCAAAAGTAGAATTATATTATGTACCCTTTTGAATGTTGCTTTTTCTCAGGAATAATTCGTGGAAACCATTCCATGTAATAAGGTTAAGCTTTAATTCTTTCTAATATTCCATCATGTAGGTGTACTAAAATTTATTCAACTATTCCCTTTTATGGTCATTTTGCTCTGTTTTTAGTTTTTTTTTCTTTTTTTTTTTTTTTTTGGTCACTGCCAAACAATGCTGCAATTAACATCCTTGTACAACATGTGTTTGTGTATTGTTTTCATTGTATGGAATTTATTCCTAGGAGTAGGATAACTCCTAAATCAGAGTTACATATTTTTAGTAGACATTGTTCAATCACTTTCTTTAAAAGCTATAATAACTTACAATTTTAGTAGGTGCATATGAGAGTCTTCTTTTTGCATTGGGTGCTTGCGAACAGCAGGTATAATCAGGCTTTAAAATCTTCGCTAGTCTGATAGGTGGAACTCATTGGTTCTCAGTCTTTATTGATTTTGTACCCCCCGCCCCCGCCTCGCCACAGGACA